CTTGAATCTGCTGTCTCCTCACTTGGAAGAACAAAGCGGGATGTTCCAGATGAGTGGGCTGCAGCTTTCAGTAGTAGCCTGAGTCTCTTCTCTTTGTTTCAGCCTATACCCAGGACCCTTGTGTCCCAGATGCAGCTGCAGGGCAGTAACAAGCAAATGATAGCTTTTACCTGGGCTCATTGTCTCAAACTCAAGTACAGCACAGGAAGTAGGAGGGTTAAGATGATAGTAGTGCGAATTAATAGTCACACTCATCTATGTAGGAAGTCCTAAGTAACCTCGAGAAAAGAAAACCTTCCTGTAATTAATAACTGAGTTTGGAAAATTCTAATGATTGAAGACCAATATTCAGAAATTGTATTTCTATAATAACTAGTTACAAATAATTGAAATGAGCATAAACATTGTAGTTTGAGTTAAATATCAATTCCACTAATTCTCCTTTATTTAAGTAAGAACTTCTGTACATGAGACAAAATAAGTTTTCTCATTAGTTGATTATAAAGGAAACAATTGTCTTTTGCACACACAAACATCTACTGGCTTTCTCTTTTTTTGAATATTCTAAAGATTGTACTTTTTAAGTAATAGCTTGCTAATCCCCCTTTTAAAGCTTTTAATATGAGCATTAGTTTCATTAACTATAAATTCCAACTTTGTTTTTAAAACCTCATTTCAAAAATCCATATCTGGTATTTTTTGATCAGCACACTTTTAGCCTGACTGGGTAAGCATCAAGCCTACTGTGATGCCTAAGTGGCATGGTATAGCCAAGAGAAAGACTTTAATTATGTATCATTGTATTGACAACTCTCATTCCAGGAAGAAAAAAATGACTCAGTTATTGCATAAGACATATGAGTCTCATTCACTGTAAAGGGAAAATGCTGTATTAAAGCACATTCAACAATGGAAAGATTCTGAAAATGTTACCTGTCTCTGAAATAGCATAATAGTGAAAGTTATCAAGATGGAAAGAAGTGTCAATGTGAAGTGCAGGCTGATGAGAAATACCAGGCCTGTCTAGTCTGCTTGTGTCGCTTGCCATGCATGAATGGAAGTGCTCCAATCTCCGGGGAGCGGGGAAGCCTCCTGTGTCAGTTGTTTATCTCCTTAATCCCTCCTCCTTTGTGATTTTTATGTCAGATCTAAAATGGAAAGCCTGTAAATATAATGATTATCACATGGATAATCACCTGCATTAGGACCCGCCCGGCTTCTCCGCTCTAGCCCTAGCTGTTCTCCACATGTCACAACCACTCTGTGCTTGGATTTTAACCTGACTGCTTCATTAGATTTGTGAAACTCATACGCGGCGCCCTGGGGCAGCGCAGATGGGGACTTGCTTGTTTTCTTTTCTCACTTCCACTGCAGTGGCACACTAACAAGTCCTTTTCAATTTAGTGTGATCAGTCCCTTGGAATTACTCCTGATATTCAGAACCTGCCTTACTTTCTGCCCACCATCTATGCTCATTCTTTCTTCCCTGTTTTCTGACCTGCTGCCTTTTCTTTCTGCTCTTTCATGCAGTGAATCTGAGAGTGAAAATCCTACTTAAAATTCTTGCTCAGTCAAACTGTTCCCCTCTGTTGTTTTGTTTGTTTTGCTAAGGGGGAAAATAAACTCTGATCCATCACTGTACCTACAAACACCTTCAGATCAGAGGTTAGTGGTGACAAGTACAGTGATGTGGGACAGCTGCCTTCTCTAATGGTGTCCAAGATCAAAGGAAGATGAGAGGAAGCCAGATGACAAGATGGTTTTAAGGCACAGAACAAGGTCTTTGCCGGTCTGGTGATAAGGCACACCTCAGCAAACCTTTGTGAAGAGGTATTAAGATAGAAAATTGAGTTGACTATTCTTAAGTATGTCCTTCCTCAGCCAGAAATGTGTTGGCGCTCGGTACTGTTTCCATATGTGAGAGCATCCTAAGGCATGCCTCCTTTAAAAATAGTGACTTGAAGACAAGCACAGTGGCCCAAGCCTGAAATCCTAACATTTGAGAGGTGGGAGCAGGAAGAGAGACAGTTCAAAGCCAGCTTAGACTACATATCAAGATTCAGACCAATTTAGGTTACATAGTGAGCCCCGTCTAAAAGAAAAAATACACTTAAATAAATACAGTTTTATTTATTCTTGCCATTGTTCTGTAATATACCAAGTTACAGTTAATTTATTAATATCTGAGCAAAGCTGGCATTAGAAAGCAATGTAACTATAATCTCAGCACTAAGAGACAGTAGGATTAGAAAGTTCAAGTCCAGCCTGAGCTTCCTAAGAGCCTGTTTCATACAAATAATATAACGATTTTGGGATTTGACTTGGTGATGTGACCCTTACCTAGCAACTTAAGGCCCTGAGTTCAATCCCCAGCACTGCTCCTTCCCTCAGTTTAACTGCATGTGGACTTTCAACCTTTCTGTTATAGTGTAATTTTAATTATACAGATTTTAATGACCCTGAAGCTCACTCACCCTCACCCTCTGTCCTGGAACTCACTGTTGCCCAAGCTGACTTGAAAAGTAGTTCTTAGGAGCTGAGGAGTTGGCTCACTGGTTAAGAATACTTGTTGCTCTTGTAAAGGATTCAGGTATGGATCTCAACACCCACACAGTAGCTCATAACCCTTGGTAACTCCAGTTCCAGGGTATCTGATGCCTTTTCTGGGCCTTTGCAGGCACCAGCCATGATTATGGTACATATTACATGTAGGCCAAACATGTATATACATAAAACAAATAAAACTAAAATAATAAGTATGGTAGTAGTTCTCAGCAGAGCTGCTCAGTTGTGTGATTCATCTAAGAATTCATTTAGTTAATTATGACAGCTTAGAAAGCACTGCATTGGTGTCTTTTCAACCTTAGCCTTTGCCTTGATGTCTCAGCCAGCAAGCAGCGCTAACTATGTGACGTATATATGTTCTATTGTTCATGAAATGAAAGGAGGGTAGTCAAGAGTTTGCGTGTGTGCGTATGTGTCATCACTGTCGATGTCAGCTGTGGCTCCCTGGTCATCCTAATGTTTCTTTTTTGGATGAACTAAGGAGTTGTACACTCAAGAGTTCCTGTTAACTTCATTGTTCAGCCATATCATGCATTCTGGCCTTTTCACACCCTCAAAATGATAGGTTTCTTAAATCTCTGTTTTAGTATAGTGGGTCGTAAGTACATGCATATATTTCTTCATTAGTATTTCCCTCAATATGGAGGAACGATCCACGTTTATTTTAAAGGCACTGACTGTACTTTCTGCCTTACATGGTTTGATGCAGCAGTCGTTCTAGCTGAGTTGGATCTGCTCACTACTTGGGCTCAAATCCCATCCTTCTATTAATATCTCTTGGCAAAGATAATTTTGGAGGAATGTAAGTTAAGATGTAGAGACTCTTGACAGTTGTCTGCAATTCTTTTCCACTTTCAAGCGGGAAGTAGAAATGAAAAGTAGCATTGCCTCCATTTTCTATCGTCCCTAAAATTAAAATACGTGCACAAGGCAAACAGTAAGAGCGTGAGGATTTGATTACGCTGAGGTGGGTGGGGGTTGCTTTGTTTCACCTTTCAGTAGCCTTGTAGAAAAGTATCATTTATGTTCATAAAATATCATTTATGTTCATTAAATTATCCTCATAAAATATTGAAAAGCTGGAAGAATTTTGTGTATGAAAATTTGTAAACACTTTTTTTTTAAGTGTAGCCTCTTCCTCTTAGACAAAAACCAGGTGTGGTGGCCCGGACCTCTAATCCCAGACCTTGGGAGGCAGAAGCAGATGGATGTGTGTCTTTGTGACTTATCTTACCTGCATAGCGGTTTCAGTGGCTGAGGGCTATTCAGAGTATAAGTATTGAGCCCACGTAGCACATACATCTAGATTACACAATTGTCAGTATTTTGTCAGATTTGCTTCCCTTTGTTTTTCCCCCCTAAAAGTATTCCAGGTTACAAATTTTGTGGCATTTTATCCTTAAATACTTCAAGGTACAGCACTAAAGGACATTTTCCTTATCACACTGATTATTCCTAATATCAAACTCATATTTTCTAATTCTCAGATTACATTTGTTCAAGTGTCTTTCACAGCTGGTTTGTTTAAAATAAGGTCCAGTTAAGGTCTATGCATTGGTTCTGGTCATTTCCCCTCCCCAGTTTATCTTTGAGGTTAACTTTAAAGAGACCAGACTAGCTGCCCTGTAAATGTCCCATCTTACAGATTTGTATGTTGTCCTTCTCGCTGTCTCCTTTAATTTGTTCCTCTCTTTTTCTTGTGAGTACAAATTATTGAACTAATGGTGTTAAAATTTTGGGGGCAGAATACTTCCTGGTTGATAACATGAACACCATTCTGCATCCTAACAGAAAGCACGGAATGCTTGGCAATCCCACTCCATGAGATGTTAACGGGCGGATTGATAACAGGATTAAAATGGTGACCACTTGATCTCTTTCATCAAGTTACACTTTGCTCCCTGTGGTCAGCATGGAATCTGTGCTGCTCCGATTCCATGTGAAGAGCCTGTCAGCCTTCCACCTGAAGACTTTAACAACCACATGTGACCCCTGTCTCTATAAATTTCATCATGGGATTGTAAAATAATTATTTTTTCAGTATCTGTACTTCTAGGAGCAAGCATTCTTGTCTCCAGAACAGCTTTCTCAGAGGCATTGCTTTAATTAGAAATATAACCACCAGCATGGTCCTTGGGTGTCAAGCGATTGTCTTTCTTTGCTGAGGTCAGAACACCTGAACTCACTGTGCAGCTACTGTAAAAACACAGACTGCATCTTCTGTATTCCAACTTGGGAAGTGTGTTGACATTATGTGTACCATTGTTTTTCATGCCAAGACAAAAATGAAATACTTTTAGAGTAAAAATAAAAATTAATCTATGTGACTATATTGAGATAATTGAATAAAAAGAAGACTGAATGAGTTTGAAAATGAATTATTTCTTTATTATCTAACACTTTATAATTAACTGTTCTTTTTTTCACCCCCCCAGGAAGCTGCCACTTTTGCTAGAGAGCAAGGCTTTGAGGTGAGTTAACCCACAGTTGCACACTAAACAGATCCTAAAGGTTTTTTCTAGCTGATAATGAAGTTCTTTTGGACAGTGATTGATGTGCTATTATACTCTCAGAGCCTCGCTGCAGTTGCCATGGAAACTTGGCAGTCGTCATGGTTTCTTTGTTCTGCCAGCACAGTGTTATGACGCACTCTGCTAGGTCTGCACCCAACATCGCCTACAGATGTTATTTATTGAATTTTGAAAAGCCTCTTGGGAAGCCAAGAGGTTGGGCACAGTTTCAAGCTGCCTCTGCAGATATGGGGCCTGTCAGTTTGTTCAGTTAAAAAGCTAGCTCATTAGCTGCATTTCATTTCCTAAGGATTTGGTGCTGAAGCAGTGGTGGAACAAGACAGAATAGCGAGCTACAATGTCACTTAAATAAGTCTAGCCCCTCACATGTAGATTATCATTATGCAAATTAATTTCCAAAGGTTGTACTTAACAGTTGTTAGGGACTGATTAATTTAAATCCTTCCTATTTGAAACTCCCTTTCATCTTTTTTAAAATAGCATATAATATGTTTTAGTTTTCTGAAAAAAAATGTTGATAATTGACCTTAATTTTCTCATCTTGATTCTGTTTTTCTAATAGAAAGATAATCTTGTCAAGATTCAAACCTCCATGTGGTTGTTGGCAAAATCAAGATACAGTCAAGACCATGTTTTTGTCTGCATAATATCTATCTTCTAATTGACTGTTAGAAACACTAACTTCAGTATGAACCCAGGTTAATTGACAGATAATTAACTTGAGCTTATGAGTCTTTAATGGTTGATATTGAGCCAGAACTATGTCAGATGTTCTGTTTTATACATCAGCTTGCAATATTATATAACTATAATAACTTTAAAAATTATGTTTATTTATTTAGTCGGAGGGCACATGCCTGCCACAGCATACATGTGGAGCTCTAGGAACCGGCTGGAGGCAGTTCTGGTCATCCAGTTTGGCAGCAAGCACCTTTACCAGCTGAGCCATCACACCCATGTAACTTTAGAAATTTATTGCAAGTGGAGCTGAGATTTAGGAATTCTGCCCTTATTTGCATACTCAGTATTGCCTGCCATGTACCGCAGTTGTGAGCATTGACTGAAAAATACTTGTAAGCTTTAAGCTCCTTAAGCAAAGTTGAATTTAGATAAAACTATTACTTAAATTACTAAAAGCAGATTCATCATTAAGGAACAAAATAATACACATGCATGGTATCCGTGTCGTAGAACATAATAAACTGGAACACCTCCTCTTCATAGAGAAAGAAAATGAGCATGTCTCTAAGAATTCTCTCAAGATCATTTGGAAGCATAAGAAAATTACATAAGAGTGGACTTCGTAGAAGTTTGCTTTTGTTCCTTTACCATAGTTTAGTCATTTTAGAGGTAAGTTGTGTAGAAAGGGATTTCCAAAGTTGCTTATTTTGTCTAATTTGTTTTATTATTTAATTTCTCAAGCTGACAACTGTTCTATAAGACCAGACAGAAACAGGAGAGTCAGTTTACAATGTGGGGCCACCGAAATGCCTCAGCGGTTAAAGGCAACGACTTAAATTCAATCCCCATAACCTCTGACCTCCACACTAGCATGTGTGGACACATACACTAAACTAATATAATTTTTTACATTGGACTAGGAAGTAACGTGTGCGCATGCGTGTGTGTGTGTGTGTGTGTGTGTGTGTGTGTGCATACACACATAAATTTAAAACAAACATTTTAATTATGATAATATATACATTTTTAAAGTTTTACTGCCAGGCATGGTTGGGTGCACTCCTTTAATCCTTGTACTCCAGAGGTAGAAGCAAGCAGATCTCTGTGAGTTCAAAACCAGCCAGGAATACGTAGGGAAACCTATCTCAAATTACTAATAAGGTTTTACTTATGCTAATTTTTTACACTAAAAGCTAACATTCTCAAATATAACAGATCAAAATGTTTCATAGATGAGTGGTTTTAAATATAAATTTGTACCTGTCAGTTAGCTGTGTTATCATTAAACAAAAATATTTGGTTCTGTGATTAGTTTCATAGATCCTTAGACATTTAGCATACCTACAGCAGGCATCTCAGCTCTGTAGTGCTTGTGTGATGTCGTTCAGTTCAGTAATCCTAGCATAGATCATGTTTTTGCCTGGTTTACATTCAATCTCAGCAACAAACTGCACCCTTTTCCCTGCTAACCAGCGCTATGTAACCCTCCCATTAGTTCCTATTTACTGATTTAGAAACTGTTTTCTGCTAACCAGCACTATATTACCCTTTCATTAGTTCCTGTTTACTGATCTAGAAACTGTTTCACGTTGTCATAAGTCTGCTGTAATGGATTAGAGCATATAACAAAGTGGTGATTATCATAACCACATACCCTATTTCTCCTGACATACCAAGACAGCTCTGCCAGTGATGTTGACAATGGGGGTGTTAGATTCGATAAAGCACATAATGTCTTACTATACCGCTGCATGGATTCCCAAAAATTATTGGAAGTATTGCAGAATCTATAGAAGCCATGAATAAAATAGCCTCAAGTCAGCATTGTTAATAAAACTACAGTCCATGTGGAATCTGAGGAATCCAGTGATTTTGTAATGCCATTAATGTTTTCTCACTTCATTAGGGGAAAAATATGAAAGCATAGGTGTGGGGTGTAGTACTAAAATAAAACAAAACTAAATCACTTTATCGTCACAATTTTCTGTCTATGGAAGTGTTCTGATGTTCTCACGTCTAGTATAAAAGACTAGACAAAAAGTCTGTATTTTATCACTCCCAGCCTTTATATTGGCTCTAGATTTGGAGCGAGACTGAAAAGGTAGAGTAATGTCTACTAAGGAATGGTGAGCATCCTTCCTTTCTACCAGCACCCCATGCCCTCCCTTATTTTCTGTTACTAATCCCAGTCCTTTCCCCAAACCCCAATGTTGCCATAGGTGATATGCTCCTGACAGGCCAGCCTGATGCCTCTAAAAACAACCTGTGTTTATTCATCAGGAAAGACCCTTGGCAGCACTGGTCATGATGCCAATTCTACATACTCTTTATTTAAAAAAAAAAAGCATCTCTAATCTTTAGAACGAATTGAGCATTTTGTGTGTGAGAGAAGCAGCAGCTCAGGAGGCCCTGGAGGAAGAGATAAAAGCTGGAGCTAGGCAGAGCACAAGGTAGGCTCTTCCTATGTAGGTGATATAAAATCGCATTGTGCCCGATTTAAATGACGCACCCGCTAAGAATTTAAGTGACAATTCTCAGTAGAGTTCTGTGAGGCCTTTTTATTATTCAGGAAAAACAGCTGGTAGTGCATTGTGTTGTTAAATCTTCCTTATCTTGAACTGAAGATTTACATTATTAGAACCTAAATAAAACAATGCATACTTCATTGTGAAGCCTTTTTAAAGACTGTCCTAAATAGATGTAAATTAAATAAAATGAAGAAAATACCCCCAAAACCTAAATTTAGTTATTCTTTGTATTTCTATTGTTTCTGCAACAGCCTATGTGCCAAATTCTGAAAGGAATTCAAACCTATTCAATCATTTATTCAATATTACTCCAAGCAAAAAATCCATTTTCTTGTAGATGCGTAAGATATGTCCATTGAGGGAACAAGGTGATCTCACTGCCTTCCCGTCTTCCCACAGCCTCTGACAACCCAGAACATCTTAGAATTTTACAGCCTTTCTATAACCAATGAGAACTCCATCATCTCCTAACACTGAATGGCCAAGTATAGAACTGTGTGGTCCAATATCCACATTTGGCTGCTCAAGTTAAAGTTATTTAATATTAAATAAAATTTAGTTTTAAATTTAATTTTAAAAAAATTTAGGTAGTTCCAACTATCCTGAATTTGAGGCAGGAAGATTGCTTGAGACCATGGGTTTGACACTAGTCTATAAAACATAGTGAAATTCTGTCTCAAACAGTAAAAGAAAATGCAACCTCTGCTGGCCTACACACATTTCTAAACCTCCTTAGCCTGTGTACATGATAACTACTTTATTAGGTGGTGAAGATATTGAACATATACAGTATACATACATATACAAAAATTCCGTTCATCAGCACTGAGGAGAAATCTACAAAACATATTCAGGAGGTAATGATCTCCAAAGAATTATCTAAGGTGATTCTTAGGTTCCTGTGTTTTTTACAAATTTTAGGATTACAGTGAGCTGTCACAGTTTCTGCAAATAAGATGTAAGTCAGGTCCTGCTGGCTAGGAGAGTCCGCCCATACTTTCTGAGGAACTGGGCCCCAAAGAGGGCAATTTTAGAAACGGATTAGGAAAAACAGCGTATGTAGTTTTCTAATGCTATCCACTCCGTGTTTCATTAAAAATATTTGCTGAGCACTTTTGATGTGCTTGATGCCACCAACAAACGAAAAAAAAAAAAAAGGAAAGAAAAATAAATGACCACAGTTTGATTCCTCAGAATCAAAAAGGAAAAGGTGGAAGAAAAGAACCAGTTCTGTAGAGCTGTCCTGTGAGCCCCTCTGCACATTTGCTGTAGCAGACACGTGCCCCTCCCAATAATAATACAGATTTTTAAGGAGGGAAAAGAAAGTTAAAATCTGACAAATAGAGTTATCTAGCAACAGTAGCTGGCAGAGAGCAGCCAGTTAAGCAGTCAGCAAGGAGACGCATTTCAGACAGAGGAAACAAGAGTACAAAGACCTCCCAACAGAGAGAACACAGTGTACTGCATACTGCACAAGACATTGCCTTTGGGCTGGGTTTAGTGTGGAGGATATCCTGAGACCTGCCTGATGATTGAACACCACAATCTCATGGAAATTCTGGTTAGAAGACAAAACAGAAAGCGGTATAGTTAAGGGTACAGTGTGTGGAAACGCCACAGCTGGGGCCGATTGGGACAAGGTGTTTGAACATTTGTATCACCTGCTTGGTGAGAGCAGAATAAAGAAAGTATTGGGTGGCACATACGTGCAGGTATGGAGCTCAGAGGACA